CCATGTTGACCAGGATGGTCTCGATCTCTTGACCTCGTGATCCACCCGCCTCGGCCTCCCATAGTGCTGGGATTACAGGCTTGAGCCACCGCGCCCGGCGAATTTCTGTTTCTTTAAAATCCAGTTCAACTACCTCTACTTACCTTTATTTTGTTCTTCTAGAATGAAACCTTGACCTTTGAGTCAGAATTACAGTAAGCAGACTATTTTGTCTCCACATAAACACATACCAGGTCTACCAAAGGCTAGGGGATCTACTTTAAGAGAAAGTTAAAAAAAAAAATAACATTGTATCTGTGGTTTTTATTGACATTTAAAGTTTAAAAGATGAAATTGTTTACTGAAAATATTTTCATTAATCCATGAGTCACTTCATGTACTGGCTTTAAAAATTTTTTATTAGAAAAGCTTAAATAGCTATTTTTGTGCGTGTCTTTTATAAATCTCAAGAAGACATTTTGATTCTGTTTCAGAAAACAGCCACATACCAAACACCCAAATGTAAATTAATGAGTGGTTTCTCAAGCTGAAAATAAAACATGACTGATCACAATCGTGTGTGTGTGTGTGTGCGTGTGTCTGTGTGTGTGTGTAGGGGTGGCACATTGTAGTGCTTACAGATCTCCACAGATGACTCCAATGGGCAGTCAGGGTTGAGAAACACTGGCCTGTGAGTCTCTGACACTCCTTACTATTCTGAGAATTAAGGTCAAAAAAGATGAATGCAAGCCTGAGCAACACGGTGAGACCCTATCTATACCAAAAAAAAAAAAAAAAAAAAAAGCCAGGCATCATGGCTCACATCTGTGGTCCCAGTTACTCAGGAGACTGAGACAGGGGGATCACTTGGGCCCAGGAGGTCAGGGTTGCAGTGAGCCATGATTGCACCGCTGCACTCCAGCCTGGATGACAAAGCAAGACCCTGTCTCAAAGAAAAAAGGCCAGACATGGTGGCCCATGCCTGTAATCCCAGCACTTCAGGAGGCTGGGGTGGGTGGATCATAGAACCATTCTTACAGTTACTTTAGAATTTAACCTTGTTTCAATTCAGACTATAAGAGCAGAGAACTTGGACCACATCACAGGGGTCCTTATAGAATTCCTTTTATGAATAACCATAGGCTCACCTCACTTTCTACCCTTGTGAATAAATGTATCTGAGTATGCTGCTTTAAAGTCTTTGTAAAACACAACAGGTATGGGAATGAATTCTCTAGAGCCCAAAGGATATATGGAGAACACTTACAACTTTATTTCCTTGCTTGGTTTAAGCATTTATAGATCTGATACTACATGTAAAGCACAGTTAGTAAATTAGCTATATATTTGCAAGTAACATAAATGAGACCTCGCACTTAAAAAAAAAATTCTGAAGATAGTCCCTCCTTTCAATACAATGTTTCCGTGAGATGTTCACCATTCTCAAATACCTATGGAGGTGAGTAGTACTAAATGGCTTAATGCCAAAGAGCATAACTTTGGCTGAATTCAATTTGCCAATGTGCATTCCACAATAAAAGGCTTACCTCAACATCCAGCTCCAGAATGTCTGCAGTCACATTCATCAAGGACCCAATGTTTGGCTTGGTTCTCCCAAAGTCTCCATGTACAAATTCTTTAATGTAGCTGGGGTTTGTTTAAGGAAAAAATGAAGATAGCATGCTGTATCAACTATCTGGTAAGATTTGACAGGCAAAAATAATAATAAAACTAGAAATGTTATATAAGAGAGTTTACTTCTGAGCTCTGACTTGTGTGTCTTAAGAACTAACCTTTGGCAAGCTGGTTCCTAGTAGCCTGGCAGCCAACATCAGAACTGGGAAATGTGTTTACATCAAACTTACCAAAACCATTACTTTCTTTTTTCTTTATAGCTTATCGCCAAATGCAAAGGTGTGGATGTGGATATTAAAAATTAACTGTAGCTCGAGAGATCCAAGATGGCTGATCACTAGCAGCTCGGGATTGTAGCTCCCACTGAAAGCGCAAAGAACAAGAGGATGCCACACTTGCAGATCAATTTTTGTTGCTCACGCACCAGGAGATTCCCAGCGGAGGAGCCGACAGGTCGCCAGCACAACTCTTGAGGCCGGTGAGGTGGTTCTCGGTGCAGAGTCAGAAAAGCACCATCAATCTTAAAGCCGCTGTTTTGGCTGGTGCAGGGGGTTGCTCAGATTTTAGCGCCAGGAATCAACAAGTTGGACGTCCATTCAGAAACCCAACTATAAAGATGGTAATTATAAGGACCACAGATAGATAAATCTATAACGAAGGGAAGAAACCAGCCTAAAAAGGCTGAGAATACCCAAAATCAAAATGCCTCTCCCTCTACTGGATCACAGTTCCTCATCAGCAACAGAACAAGGCCTGATGGAGAAAGACTGTGTTCCATTAGCAGAAGCAGGCTTTAAAA